TGACTGCCAAATGTATTATGAATCTAAAAGTGTTTGTATCCATTACTGGAGAGTATGTTTCATCATAATCAATACCAGGTCTTTATGAGAAACCTTGAGTTACCAGTCGAGTTTTGTATATCACAATTTTATTTTTCTCATTACGTTTGCGTACAAATACCTACTTGTATCCAACAGGCTCAACACCCTCGGGTGTTTGGATGACTGGTCCAAATACTTCTCGTTTAGCTAATGAACTTAGCTCTGCCTATATTGCTTTTTTCCATTTCGGCCAATCATTTCTTCGTCGACATTCTTCGATGTTTTGAGATTCCAGATCCTCATTTTCAATATCAAGAGCAACGAAATATGAGAACATGTTGTCAACAATAATTTCATTTCTATTCCATCTTTTTTCATAATTTAGTGAGATCTCATCATTTTCAAGTACCATTGTTTCATCAAGGGCATGTGCCTCAAGGGCCACATTATCATCATTTACTGTCTTTGCCTCTTTAAGACTTATCATTTCATTAGTTTTAGGTACCTGGGCCTCATCAAGGTTTATAATTCCAGATTTATCAATAATTTCTATTACTCTTTTTGTGGCCTTTTCAAGAGCACCAATTTTTCTTTGTGTTTTCCTCTTGCGAGGAACAACATCTTTTGCACTAACTGGTTTTCCACGTTTCAGGTGTATTCTAGATGCATTTGCTCCAACAATGACAGATTGTCCCACTGGGACATCAATTTTTGCTGGAACATTTGCAGCTAGTACATGTGATTTTATTACTTTCTTTGTACCAGTAAATGCATCAGGTAATTGATTTACAATATTTTACAAATGAATAATCCTCTGATCTTCTTTTTCACATTGATTAGTGCGAAGATAAAAATGAGATAATGTTAAGGCATTCTAAGTGATCTCATTATACTTTTCATAAATTTTCTTTTCTCCCTCTAATGGTGGGAAAACAACCTCATCAAAATGACAGTCGGCAAATCGTGTTTTAAGTACATCACCTATCAAGAGCTCAAGATATCTAATGATAGAAGGAGAATCAAAACCAATATATATTCCAAGTTTACGTTGAGGACACATGTTAGTACTTTGTGGTGGTGTAATAGGAACATATACGGCACAACCAAAAACTTGTATGTGAGAGATATTTGGCTGTTGTCCAAACATAAGTTATAATGGTGAAAATTTATAGTAAGCAGTTAGTCGTATGCAAACTAATGATGCAACATGTAATATGGCATGTCCCTAAGCAGAAACGGGTAATTTTGTTTGCATAAGTAAAGGTCGACCAATTAACTAAAGTCTTTTAATAAAATATCCTGCCAAACTATTTTGAGTATGAGTGTATGCAACAAGATGTTCAACACTAATTCCAACTGACATGCAATAGTTATCAAAAGTTTGAGAAGAAAATTTAGCCGCATTATCAAGACGGATTGTCTTAATTAGACAATTAGGAAAGTGTGCCCGCAATTTGATAATTTGAGTAAGGAGTCTAGTAAATGCAACATTATGAGTATAAAACAAACAAACATGTGACCACCGTGTTGAAACATCAATTAAGACCATAAAATAACGAAAATGGTTTGCAGGGTGGATAAATTGGCCCACATATATCCTCGTGAATTCGTTGTAAAAAGGTGGGGGATTTAACAATAACTTTTGAAAGGAATGGTCTAATAATCAGCTTGCCTTGTGAGTAGGTGGTACATAGATAATTATTTGGTAAGACAATTTTTTTATCCTTTAATGGGTGGCCATATGAATTTTCAATAATTTGACACATCAGTGTAGTCCCTAGGTGACCAAGTCGATCATGCCAAAGTATAAAAAGTTTTGGGTCACAAGATTTTTGGTGTATCACAACATTTGACTCAATTATCCTGATGGTTGTATAGTACAACCCAGAAGAGAAAACATAAAGTTTTTCAAGTATATGTTTTTTAGAAATAATGCAGAGATATTCCACATTTCTTTCATTCGTGGTCTCAATGTGATACCTATTATGAAGTAAGTCTTTAAAGCTCAACAAATTTCTTCGAGATCTAGTAGAATATAAGGCATTATCAATGTATATTATTGTCCCACGTAATAATACAGTATCGGCTTTTTTGGAGCATTCAATCAAACTTGTGGGACCTAAAATTATACTAACACTAGCCTTAGTCAATGTTAAGTGGGAAAAATATTTTTTATTTCGAAGAATTGTGTGTGTTGTTCCACTGTCTGCAAGGTATATATCATCGCCATTAACTAATGCATTTGATAGATCCATGCCTATATATATATCATGCAAACTTCATATTTAGACTTTATGACAATAGAAACTTTAATATGAGGATAACAAACAAAACTTTTAATTCAAATGTAACTAAATAAAATTTCAGTATAAGCACAACAATAAAAACAAACAACAACAACAATAACAACAAAACATAGATTAATGATGACATGATAAAAGAAAGTAGAATTTAATTAGTGTGGACATTTCCATCACCAATCAAGTGGTCAATTTTTCCGTCACTATCCTCAAAGAAATCTGATATGTCCAGATTTGTGATATTCACTGGCTCATTGAAATCAGTGAAATTCATTTTTATCTTTTTCCTTTTTTTCTTCAGTGAGGCTTGGTATAGATCGGCCAAGTGTTTAGGCGTACGACATATACTTTGTCAATGCCCTGTCATTCCACACCGATAACAAACAGTTGCATATGTCTTTAAAGTTTAGGCCATACCATTCATCTTTTCATTATAATCCCTTTTTATGGGGATATGGTGTGAATCTCTGATTGTTAGAATTTGAGGATTGATAATCTTCACGGTAATATGAATGATTTCTTCTACAATCATATTCGCCATTATGACCATTTCGATTACCACGACCATATTCATTGTCATTTCGACCACCACGGCCATATTCACTACCACGCCCACGTCCACGTCTACGTCCATGTCCTCGTCCTCGAAGCGAGGCAACGTATGTTTTAAGGATCGGTGTTGATCTAGTTGGACGGGACTGGTGGTTTTTTAACAAAATCTCACAAGTAAACATGATATTAGCTCTGAATATTTTTCAAATCGACGCTTTCGATATTGTTGCTATAAAAGCACATTCGAGGCGTGAAATGTGGTATATGTTTTTTCCAATAGGAGCTCATCAGTGACAATATCACCACATGATTTTAGCGTAGAGCTGATGTTAAATAGAGTAGAGTTGTATTCAGCGACAGTTTTGAAATCTTGCAACCGCAGTTCCTGCCAATCGGCTTGAGCTTTTGAGAGGATAACAGTTTTCTGATGATCATATCTTTATTTCAAAATTTTCCACAAATACAGTGGATCTCTTTCAGTGAGGTATTATGTTTTTAACTCTTCACTAATATGGCGACGACGAAAAATCATTGCCTTTGCCTTATCTTGTGACGATGCATCATTTTATTCTTAAATTGTAATTCCAAGACCGATGGCATCTAAATAGATCTAAGCATCTACAATCCAAGATAAATAATTGTTGCCAGAAATGTCCAGGGCCACGAATTCCAGAATAATCAGATGTAATAACAATATAAGAACACAATTTTAGCATAGTATAAAAATAAGCGTATATCTTAATAATAAAATGACATTAAGTGAAATAACAAGATAATATGAGCTATTATAATTTAAGCAATAAAGACGGTAAAACCGACCATTAAATCATTAAATGATAAAGGCGGTTAAACCGACCATTAAATAATAAAGGTAATTAAACCAACCATTAAATTATTAAATAATAAAGGCGGTAAAATCAACCATAAATTATTAAATAATAAAGGCAGTAAAACCGACCATTAAATAATAAATATGGTAAAACCAATCATATTGTAAGCACATATATCACATAAGCAGACAAATTAATTAATGAACAATAATAAATAAATAAAATTTTCTTACCCTTTGGAGTGAGAAATGCAATATTCTTCAGTAAAGCAAGCAAATCCAACAATCTATCAAAACTAATATCACAAGATGATATAATGAGTTGAGATAGAAAGAGAGAAATAGAGATTCTTTTTCAAGTCTCAGATGGTTAGAGCTCGGACTGATAACGTGTTATAAAAGTAAAAGAAATATAATCTAGGGCGAAATAGAACTGCAATCTACAAACAAGGAAGAGAGAGAACTCTACTATGATTCAAGTTTTTTCATTTAAGTGTATCCATACAATACAACATTACTACTGTTTATAGGGGATGATGCGACTAAGGCAGTCATATGCACCAATCATATTAGCTTCCTTCGTCACTTCAGCTTTAGGCGCCATCATTACCTTTTTCAAGTTGCCTTCCAATCCACAATCCAAATGCATGTACTGACACTGCATTAAAAATGTAGAGCTCACATATTATAATAATACATATGTACTTATATCCTATAAAAAAGAGAAAATGGCAAAATCCGCTAAGCTATTTCTTGTCGTTGCTAAAAATAGCCGGCCGTGTAACTTATGAGTGGCAATATTTGATACGATAGGCTAACACGACTTGATATAAGAGGGTTTGGGTTTGGGCTAATCGTGTTGACACGAATTGACCCGTTAACTAAGTGTATCGTGTATCTGTTTGACCATGCTAACACGATTAAACAGGATTAACCCGATTAACTAAACGTGTCAAATCAACATATTGTATTCGTGCAAAAATGATCTATTTAACTAAACGTGTAAAATAAATATATTATTTTTTATCAAAAATAATTTAAACATGTCTTTTTGTGTCGTGTCAAATCTGAATTCATTTATTAAACGGGTTAGACATGACGTATCGTATAACCGGTATTGTATTATATTTGTGTCAAGAGATTTTAACATGATTAACAATGGTGTCCTTTTTGTGTCAACTCCAATGACATCCCTGTCATAATCGTATTGACACCAAATGGCCACCACAACTATAACTGGTTCATGTATTAAAATTTAAAACTGGAAACATTACTGAGACTGGAGAGTGGTGGTGGAGACTAGAGTGAGAAACTGAGGAGAGAGAGAGAGGAAATGTCGGGTAAAGAAGGGGAGGTGGTGTGCGTAACAGGAGGTAGTGGGTATATCGGTTCGTGGCTGGTCCGTCTCCTCCTCGAACGCGGCTACACCGTTCACGCCACCGTCAAAGATCTCAGTTACACTCTCTCTTTACCCTTTCCCATTTCCACATATCAATTCAATTGTATTTCCTAATTCCATTTTCCTCTCTCTCTCTCTCTCTCTCTCTCTCTTTTTTCTGTTTTTTCTTTTTTTTTCTTCTCTTAGAGGATGAAAAAGAAACTAAGCATATCGAAGCCCTGGAAGGTGCACAATCGCGTCTCCATCTCTTCCAGATCGATCTCCTCCACTACGACTCTATTGTCGCCGCCGTCGCTGGCGCCAACGGCGTCTTCCACCTCGCATCTCCCTGTATTGTCGATCAAGTTCATGATCCTGAGGTTCGTGCCCAATTCAATGTACACACGTCTGATATATATATATTCAGTTTTTTGCTATGACTGGCAGAAGGAGCTATTGGACCCGGCGATTAAGGAGACCAACAATGTACTCAATGCGGCAAAAGAGCTGGGGGTCCGGCGAGTGGTGGTGACCTCATCCGTATCCGCGATCACTCCGAGCTGGTACTGGCCAGCCGATGTAGTCAAGGATGAAAATTGCTGGACAGATATTGATTACTGCAAGACAAAAGGAGTGAGTCTCTTGCGTTTTCTTAGATGTTCACCTTTTTTTTTTCTTCTCCCAAATTTGTTTGAGTATTTGCTTATTTGGTATTAATGACTTCGATCTCCTCTAGAGGGAGGATTATTCATAACCCATAACCAACTGTATTATGATAAGTAATTAAATGATCATATTTCACCACAAGTTATTGTACTTAACACTAACATTACTATTTGGTTTGCCATCAAAATCATTCACAGTGCTCCTCATGGCAATCACCCAAATTCAGAGAAGCAATAATTTCCAATAGTTACTGATAAAATTTTGTAATAGATTACCATGACGTCTATAATTTTCCTTTTAAGCTATGTATCGTGTATGGAGAAATTATTGCATGGTCCGAGACTACATGGTTCCGGTGAATCACAACTCGGTACTTAAGCAAAAATCTAATTAAAAATTGACACATTTGCTTGCTTGTCGAGTTGTGATTAACGAAGCTACTTTGACTTTTGAATTCGCCCGGTCAGCACCTAAAGAAAGAAGAGAGTTCAGATTAAGGTGAGTTGGATCTTGACTGATCCTTGATGCCTTATGCATCACAGGTGGGCGTCGCTTCGGTGAACTGTTATGGGACCTATCCTGCCTCCAGCACTTAATGCAAGCATGTTAATGATTCTTCGCCTTCTTCAGGGTATTGCACAAATTTGAATAAGCTATTGTAGTTTATATTGAAGCATGCTGCACTTTAAGACGTGCGTAAATATATCTTTGTAGTATTCTTTTGCTTGAGTCCATTACAACAGAACTCGTGCATTACAACAGATTATTATCTGTTCAATTGATATTTGTGAATTTTCAGCTTTAGACCAATATATGTTTCTTCATGTTGAACTGGGGATCTTAAAGGAGTATTTGGCATTTAAAGTAATAGGGCTGTTGCAAAGTGCACCCCTCGCCACTCCCCAAGGAAATTGCTTTTATATTTTATTTTGCCTCACAAGGGAAATAAAGTGAAAATCTTGTTTGTTTCAAGCTAATTTATTAATTCTGTCATTGTTCACTTTGTAATTGAACTTCAAGCAGACATTAAACTTACCCTGTATACTATTCTGGATGCATTTGAGACTTTGAGTGGCGGTAAATTGAGTATTTCCATTCCATTGAACTATTTCATTAAACTCTTTCCGGGCTATGCTTAAGGTTTTACACACTATTAGTCCTAAGCCTGGAAATTTGAAAAGAGTTACTTAAGTTGACAACTGGCATGATAGCATGTGTGCATGTCACTTCCATAAATTCTCGTGTTCCTCATTTTTTGTAATTAGTGGCATAAGATTGCATTTTGAGGATTTATTTTCCTTTCTCCTGGCTCAAACTTCTTAATGAACTGTGTAGTTTCCTTAGAATAGATTTGCCTCTCTGTCTTGCCAGTTTCCTCTCAACTCTTGATCATCTAGTGTAGTAAGTATTAAACATTGTAGTCCTGAAGCTTGTCCAGTGCTTCACATTCATTTTTAGATGCTGACAGTTTTCAATCTCTACCAAAAACATTACTCAGACATTTTGGAATTCCAAACTTATAATTTTTAGAACTAACCCAAGAATTCAAATTGCATTTTGGCCAGGCTGCACACAAATATATGAGGATGTTTTTATGGGGTCTGACCATGTTAAACATGTGGCCCTAGCACACATATTAGTGTATGAAAACACGTCAGCAACTGCAAGCCACTTGTGTGTGGAAGCTATATCTCATTATGGCGACTTTGCTGCAAAAGTTGCAGAACTTTGCCCTGAATATAAAGTGCCCAGGTAATGTGTTTTAACTCTCCATGCTTGCTTTTTAAAATTTTTTTTATTGTGTTTTTGATTGCTTATTTATTCATTTTTATAGTTAGAACTATTTACGTATCTTGCGGCTGTGGAACTAATGATAATTATATGCTGGCATGTGATACCCCCGGATTTTCGAATGCGGGTTGGCAAGGCCCACGCCCGAATACCCGAGGAGATCAAAACAAATTAATAATAAACGAACATAGAGTACAAAAGAATAAAGAAGAATAAATAAAATCCTGATAAGAAACTAAAATGATAATTTAATAATAAATCTCATAATATATTTCCATTAATTAATAAACTCTTCTGGTAAAACTGATCCTCCAAAATACAACTCGGGAATCCATACTGTGTGGACCCCAAGAAAATCCAAACTAAACAAATGACAGTAATCTAAAACAGGAAATTGAATCATAAAGGAACTCCTATGTAGCATCGGAAGAATGAAGTAGACTGATCCCCACTCAGCACAAACAACCTCTACTCGTGACGAACACCTGAAAAATAATGGTGGGTCAGGCTCACAAACAAATTCTACTCTACTACAGTCCAAGCAGAGATCCGATACACGTATACATCCTAGTCAATCCAACAGTAACTAGTAGTCCGTATATATATATATACACATACTAAAGGGACCCCACTAGACTATAGGGTTGTCTCAACCTGAATAGTAGGCAACATGCAAAACGCACATATAGTGGGCATGAGTACCTAAACCTACCAGGGTACACAACTACACTATATCTAGCTACACATCCCTGGCGATGTACACGCCCTAACCATTGATCCTGAGACTCAAGCTCATATCATGGCACCATACTTATATATATATAATCTAGTAACCATCCTATCCAGTATAAATTAATCCTCTATAAGTCATTCAACTTGTTCAGCTGACCTGACTTGAATATAAGTAGGATTTAACATTTTAGTTAATCCATTCTCTTATATAATAAATTAATCCTCCATAAGTCATTCAACTTGTTCAGCTAACCTGACTTAAATATAAGTAGGACTTAATATTTTAGTTAATCCATTCCCTTATATAAAATAGATAGGACTTAATTGATCAGTTAATCCATCCCTAGAATGCCACCGTCTCATACCGGTGCATTAAACCACACAATCCAACAATTGATGTAACAATTAAGGAAATACATCAAACATTTCATAAATAATTATGATAAATATGATATCAAGTTATAACATAATAGGAATGACTTATTATTTCTTTAAACTTCCTATTTCATATGTCCTAGACAAACTGAATCTTATACATGATGATATTTTATTATACCGTTAAATAAGGATTCTCTATATCCAATTCATCCTACACATTTAATCTCAATTGCTAAAACATTTTAAAAGATTAAATCCATTCGTTTGTTTAAAACATTCAAATAGCAAGCATCATTATGATTGAGTCTATTTAAATTTATTAAAACCCAAACCTAGTCCCTATTTAATGTTCAGGAATCCTAAGCATGTTTCTACATTCCATCATTCCACAGATATGAAAAATACATAATTTAAACATGTAAAAATTCACATAAGAAATCAAATCAAAATCATGCATTTTATCAATTCATAACACAAGAACAGATATGAACCAATTTCATAAAACTTATGTTCTAACCCAATTAAACATGCATAATTATTTAATTTTATGTGTTTAATAAATCCTAGAATTTCCTAGGCATGTACAGAAACACGAATCAAAGGGAAAGAGATAGAAGAAGAACTTGCTTTAACACTATCTCTCTCTCTCTAACACTATCTCTCTAATATATATCACGTGAATATTTTTAACCCCCTTTTACAACCTATAGCTATATATTTATAGGCTAAATAAAATAACCCTAACCTTTTTCCCAATCTAAGTTAACTAAAAAAAATGAAAATAAAAATATTAAAAAGATAAATAAAATATGTTCCGTATGTAATTTATGTATATGTTTATTAAATAAATAAATTATACACATTCCATTATTTATTAATGGATTATCCAATAATATTTAAGTTAGCATAATATTATAAAGTAACTTAAAACATAACACGTATCAAATCTATGTATATTTTTATTATTTAAATTAACATATACATCAGATTAAATATTACTACCCAAATTACCATAAAAGTAATTAATAAATTACTTTCTCTTTTATATATATATTAAAAAGGTAAGTAAAATATGTTACGTATATAATTTAAGTATATGTTTATTAAATAAATAAATTATACACATTTCATTATTTATTAATGGATTATCCAATAATACTTAAGTTACCATAATATTATAAAGTAACTTAAAACATAACACGTATCAAATTTATGTATATTTTTATTATTTAAATATAAAACATATACATCAGATTAAATATTACTACCCAAATTACCATAAAAATAATTAATAAATTACTTTCCTTTTTATATATGTATATAATATATATCTATATATATAGATACATTATCCATGGGTAATAATCCATACACATCCATCCTCCTATCCAAGTAGTCCATGGGACCCAATTGGTTGGCCCATTACTACTAACCATAACTATAAAAGAAAAATAAAATAAAATAATAAAAGAAAAGAAAATATTTAATTTACAATTAATCAAAACACCATTTAAGCACATAATCTAATTAAACAATTAACACATAGACAAATACAAATAATACATAGACACATAATCAAATAATCAAGTAATACCTAATTCAATTAAACACATAAGTAATTAGTCAAATAATAAATTAAATAATTAAAAAATACAATTAAAACAAATAAATAAATACCGAGACTATCTTTTTAAAATTAGGGATATTACATGGCATCTAAAACTCATAACTCTTCCATATGGTTTAATAGAAGGATAATCTTTATAAGGGTGCATAATGATTAATTTCTAGCTGTTTTTATGGCATTTTGAAAAAGTAAAAGGAAGTAATGTTCACAGTCCATAAAATTTTTTCCTCCCTTCACTATCTTATACGGTAATAGTAAGGTACAATGGGGAGTGGAGTACAGGATGATTTATTTGGGGTGTGAGTATTGTGTCCAAAAAAAAAAAAATGAAAAGAGATGCTAGTTATGGATTAGGAATATGTATTTTCTGTTATGTCTAAAGAGCATTGGCCCATATTATTAGGATGTAAGAAAAATAATCAAGTCAATAAATGGGTCACATATTGTAATATCATGCCAAAAAATCATATAGTCCAAAAGATCACATACCTCCAGCCATGAAATTAGTTCTGCAAAACAAAATGAGAAAATCTTGATACTTTCACGTGTATACAAGTCCTTATGCATATACTGATGGAGACAACATAGACATTTCTTTTCTTCACTTGCCACGCATGGGAGTACAATCCATCATGCATCCCCCATTTATTCGGATTAGATTATCGGTTATGAAACTACTCTATTAACATCCCAAAACCACCATTCTATATCTTTCCAATATAACTGAAGGGGCATGTCAGAATGTGTGTCAAAATGCCAACTTAAAAACAACTATAAAAGGATAGAATGTGTGTGGCAATATAGGCCACATCACACTTGACAAACAAACGTGTACAGTAACCAGTTCTGGTGGTTCCTACTTTTATTTCTTCTTATTAGACAAATATTTGGCGGTAGAGACTCTTAGGAGAAGACTGGTAAAAGTCGTCTTAATGTTTCTCTTGGTAAAGCTTAAAGCTGAGGATTTTAATCATTTCAATCGCTGCTTTATGCTGCAAGTGTTGGTATATTACAATTCTATCTGGGCCTGCATACGTTCTCAAATTTCCTTACACTACTGTGCTTGATGGCTGGCTTAACTTCAATATGGTATTGTCGGATTTAAATATTCCTCAAATCTTATTGAGTGTTTTTCTATGGGTTGCCAAAGGATACCCACCCTGGACTGCTGAGGACCAAGGACGGATCTAAGAAGCTAATGGACTTGGGTCTGCAATTCATCCCCATGGAGCAAATAATCAAGGACTCTGTCGAGAGTTTAAAGAGCAAAGGGTTTATTTCTTGAATGAAACCTTCAAGCCTCCGCACACCTGGAATTGGTAAAGGCCAAGAACTTTGTGGGATAAAAGTATAACAATAAAAGATATTGGGTACATATTGATCAATGAGATATCCTTGTAATTTTGGGCTGGGGTTGTAACTGAACTAACCTGAGTTCGAAATTGTGTGTATTTTGTTATGTTTAATTAAGTTTATTATTGGTTTTGTGTAAATTTTTCTTTTCAAGTAGAGGTTGTGTTGAGCAGCTTTTAGAGATATTATAATGGAAAAGTTGTAAGCTAGTTGACTCTCTACCACTGTATTACATATTCTCGGGATGGTAATATTTGGTACCCCTTAATCGCCGGGCCCTTAATCATTAACCTGTCTTGTTGCAGAAAATTACAAATATTTCACCAAAGCAACTTATTTAATATTAAGATCGTGTAGAGTTTAGACATCAACTTGGTCCGGAGTGAATTAAATGGCCAAATGACGATTCAAGTCTAGTGGTTTGCATGTGTTTTCTTGCCAAGGAAATAAAAAAAACCCCAAATATTACCGTCCAAATGAGGTGTCAAAAGCTCGAGCTTAAACTTACATTTACTTATATTTTCCTTGGCTAATGAGTTTAAAGTTTGGAAACAAAATACACTAGTTGCTGGAGGTGCCTTATCGGCAAGGGGTAATCTCTTCTCTATGTATATTGATTTATTTTCTTTCTAGAAAGTGCATCTAAGCCTGGAACATGTGGTTAGTCACTGAATGTGCATATAAGAACACAACATCCTTGTAAAATTTTAGGATCTTTATATTATATCGATCGTACATGGTCCAAAGTTTAGGTATTGCCTACGCTTACTTGGGATGATGGTCAGGAAGTTTCTCGGAAAAACTATAGCACCTATGACGGCTTTTTTGTGTGGTTTAATATCAAGATTTTTAGTTTCACTTGACAGTCTTGTCAATTGTAATTTATGTTCTCTGATCCTCTTGAAGGTGATTCTAATTGTAATTTTTACCATCGAGTCTGCATATCAGCTATCTCCT